TTGGAGTACGAAATTGGCCATCATCAACAAGACCTGAGCTACTAGCAATTTGGTATGTTTTGCTTACTGTTCCAAGCGGAAAAAAAGTGAAAATATACACGGACAGTGCAACAGCTATTGCAAATATAAAAGGCAAAAATAGCTTTTTATCTGCCAAACAACGTTTAAAAATAGAAAAATCTAGGTTTGGGTAAATATAGTTAGAAAAAATAGAAGAAAATTTAAAAGAATTTTGAAAATAAAAGAAGATTAGGTTGTGAAAAGTATGTGGAGTATTTTGAGAGAGAATATTACATTCGTTATTTGTATATGTATATATATGATGTAATGAAACTTTAATTGAAGCTATTGTTTTTTTTTATAATGAGTTTATTTTAGGAAAAGAATAGGAGATTGGAAGAAGTTTTTTAAGTTTAATTATAAGAAAAGTAATTATTTGGTATTTAATAAAATTGTAAACTTTTTGTTCATTGATGTATGTAAATTGTTTTTGATAAGAGTTAAAGAATTTTGGAAACCATTTATTAAGTGGTGTTCGATATGTTTTGAAAGAAGGAATGTAAAAAGTTTTGAGAAAATTTTTGGTAGAAATATCAAATATAATATAAATATTATATTTGGTATCATTTTTAATTTTTATAGATAAAGAATTAGTGTCATTGAATGTTGTACTAAAATGTAGAGTCATCTGAATAGGTTTAAGATCAAGGTCTTTAGAAAATTTAGTATAATTAATAATTTTGTATTTGTTATATAGGAAAAGGTGTAAACAGGCAAGATTAATTGCTATTTGAAAGTGTTTAGAGATAGAATGTGGTGGTAAAAAGTAATATGAATGAAATATTTTGTTATAATTAAGTTTAATAAAAAGGATAGTAGTAAAGTTAGATAGAATATCTCTAAGTGTAAGCAAAAGGTAATTGTGTGATATATTGGTAAGTTGAATGTTTGGTGTATTTTGATAGATAAATTCAGTTAAAAATTATGGTTTTTGTAAAGTCATATTGTTTAAGAGTTTATTGAAATTACTTTTAGTATTTTGTTGATTAGTTGTTTTATTTTTTTGAATTTGATCTGGATAGAAGTTTTGAAGAAATGGTTTAATAAAGTCAAGAACTTGTAAACTGAATGATGTAGAAAATTGTACTTGGTCTTGATTTTGAGTATTGATAGAATAAGCTTGAAATCAATCAAATAGATTTTCAATAGTATTGGTATTGACTTATATAATTGAATGATGAGAAAACCTTCATTGAAACATGATATTTCTTGGATGTTTATTAATTTTTCTTCATCAAAATAAATGAATTAAATTTAATATTTTCAGGATATATGTAATTTATTGTAAAGAATAAATTTAATTAAGACATCAGAGGAGGTTTTCTTAGTAAAATATAAAGATATCGTAGATTTTGTATAAAATAAATTTTTGAATTATTTATGGCTATGAGACTTATTTTGTTAATTTTCTCAGCGAGTTTTAAAGCTATCTGCTTGAAACTTCAGGAATATATGTAGTTTGTTATCAGGAACAAGTTTACTTAGAACACCAAGTGCGATATACTTAGTAAAATATTGAGATATTAGCAGATTATATTTACCGATTTGTAAGAATAAAAAAAAAATATGTTGGTATTGAGTTAGAATATGGTGATATATGAGAGAAGTGATAAGGAGGATGTGATAGATATAGTGTGATAAAGAATGTGATTGTTAGTTATTGTGATAACAAAAAAATATTTGGAATGATATGTATTAATTGGTAAATAAATTTGTAAATATATAGATAATTATAGAATATAATAAAATAAAATATGGAATAAGATTGTTACAATAAATTAAGTTAATAAATAATAAAATTTATATTAAAAACGTTTAAAATTTGGTATTTTTAGATATATTTTAGTTAAAAATAATTTAGAATAGTGTAAGTTAAGGATATATAGTAATTTGTAATTGGTGTAATACAGCTATTTACTAATTAGTAAATAATTTGTTTGTGTTAAATTGATTGCAGAACTTAGATTATTTGGGTATTTTGTGACTTATACTATGTAGATTTAATTAAATCAGTTTAGGAAATGATATGTTGTTATACAAAAAACATCCTAGTGGAAATTTTTGGGGCAAAATAGAAAGGAATAAAAAAGAAATAAAATTTTATAATAAAAAAAGAGAGTAAGAGTTATTTTAGAGTAAGGATAGGAACAGTTTAAATTTAAGCCAGCTTGAGTCAGCTTTTAAGCCAAGCTATTCAAGTCAGCTTGAGCCAGCTTAGAGCCGAATCAAACTATCTAGTAATAGATGGTTTAAATATAAGAAAGTAGAATTTCTTTAAAGATGTTAGGTGCAATAAAATTTGTAATGTTTCAAAAAGATTTCAAAAAAAAAATTGATATATATTTTAGAAAAAAAAATTGATATATATTTTAGAAAAAAAAATTGAAACATCATAACTTTTATTGCACCTAATATCTTTACAATATTTGAAATTTTAATATTGTATCATACTATTAAATCTATCGATACACATCATTCTTAAAGTTATCGTAATTACTGATGTTAAAAATGATGTTTATCAATAATTATGATAACTTTAAGAATGATGTGTATTGATAGATTTAATAGTATAATACAATATTAAAATATACAAGTTTATACGTATCATTATTGCTCAGATGACTTTATTAAACAAAGCTGAAAATATATTGATAATAATAATAATTTTTACAATAGAAAACCTTACATAACCATGTAATTGCTTGATCCAGTTTTTAAAGCCGTGCATCTATTTTTTTTCATAACATAAAACATTGTGTAATTTTGAAGTAACTTTTAGCAAAATGTTGTAAATGAGATGTTTAATAATTATTAGAAGAGATTATTTAAAGTTTTGTCACAAATACATCTTATAAAAGATGGAGTATTGAATATCTTTTTTCTTTTAGATGAAAATTAATGCCAATTAAGTTTCAAATTAAAATTTTGACAATAGAAAATATTTTGAGTAAAATGATATAAAATCAAATGCATGTATTAACTTTTGAAGTTTACATACAATGTGAACTAAAGAAAAATTTTAATCATAATCATTGTTTCTTTCTCATTACTATATTTTAATTTGCAAATACTAATCATTGCAATCATGGTTTATATGTTTATCTTTAGATGGAAGAGTTAAAGAACTTCTTTATTTATCATTAATAGTAAGAATAACCTTCATTTATAAGTGACCGTATTACAATTACTATAAGATTTATAAAGTTTCTAAAATTTTAAATTATTTAATATATTCTAGATATTAATAATGTTATTATTAATAATTATAATATTAACTATTAGATGAAGTACTTAATGCAATTTTGTATTATTTTGTACAGCTATTGCTTGCTTAATATCTGTTATCTATAAATAATAATAATAATAATGTATCAGAGTTTGATCAAAAAAGAAAAAAAAAGTTTGTTTGATAAAATTTACCAGATTATTGACATCTTCTATACACACAGATAATCTTATTAGATTATCAGTAACACCGACAGCTTCTCGGTGTGCTGGGGTGAGAGACGCATTTGTCATTTACGGGATGTTCTGTCAAACTTTCTACACCATCCTATTATGTTAAGTCATCGAAGGAAAAAAAAGTCAGTAATTAAATCAAGGAGGACAACTATAAGATAAATAGAAAAGAAACATACCAATGATTCAGCCAATGTGAATATTTTGATATTCTGTAAAAAGGTATCAGCAACTTCAAAACCTCCTTTGATTTTAAAACTTAACATTTCTCCAAATCCTTTTGATTGTTTCTTTGCTAAATCATGTTGCGGATCACTTTCCAACTCAGAATATGTAACCTCCTCAACTTTATCACTACTCTCCATGCTGTTTCATATGTATATGTAAAGTTTTTAACCCACGATTTGCTAACCATGATCAAAAGATAAAAGTACAGCACCCATAGCATTTTGTAAAAATTTAAGTTTGTCAGATATTTCTTTGTCATTCATCACAGCTACACCCATTATCACGTCAGAATGACCATTTATGTACTTGGTGACAGAATGTACAACAATGTCTGCGCCTAGTTCTAAAGGATTTTGCAAATA